TTCTCTGGTAAGCCACCTCGTGGGCTACACAGATTATTAGAAATGGGTTAGATTAATATATAAGAGCTAGCCAGTAAGAGGCTACAGATAACGGGCCAGGCAGTGTTTAAAAGAATACAGTTTCCGTGTAATTATTTCGGGCATAAGCTAGCCATGCGGGCGGCCGGGTGCCGGGGACACAGCCCCGCCACTCCTATCTCTACAATAAAAGAGAAGGAAAAACAAAGTAAAATGAAAAGGGCAAAGGAATTGAATATATTTACAAAAACCTTAAAACCCCAGAAGGTAAATGCATACTACAGTAAAAATATTATACAAAACAGAACATAATTAAAATACTATGCCAAGGGGCTGGAGTGATGGTTCAGTGGTTAAGAGCACATGCTACTCTTGTAGATGACCTGAGTTTGATTTTCAGCACCCATGTTGGACAATTCCCAACCTCCTATCAGTCCTAGGGAATCCAACAACCTCCAGACTCCAAGGGCACTGCATTCAAATGCACACATAAACACATGTTGAAAAATAAAGACAAAATCTCAACAACAACAACAAAAAACCAAAACCAAACCAAAAATCAAACCTGTTGCGTGGTGGTGGTAGCAGTATTGGTGCACACCTTTAATCCCAGCACTTGGGAGGCCGAGGCAGGCAGATCTCTGAGTTTGAGGTCAGCCTGGTCTACTGAGTGAGTTCCAGGACATGCAGGGCTACACAGAGAAACTCTATCGTGAAAAACCAAAAATAGATAAGATATATAGATAAAAATCCATATTCCAATTAATAAGATCAAAAGACGCATATAATAGGTATTTACTGAAGAAAAAAGGAGATGTAACACAATTTTAAAAAAGGATTTCACATATGTGGTACCTTGTGCTACTCAGGAGGATGACTTAATCCTAGGACTTCTACCTAAGTAACACACTGAGCCCGTCTTAGGAGGAAAATATCAATTGTAAGCTTTATGACTTTTAGAAGGTACTGAACTACATACAGGGTTGGTATGTTAACTAATTAAATGAATTAATACACATAAATCACTTTAAACAGTACCTAATATAGACCCAAATACTAAAAATAAAAAAATTAAAAAAACCAGAAACAAACAAAAAAGCTAGCTAATAAAGTCACTATTATCTTTAAAGTTTATTTTTAAGTAACTAGTTCATGTAAGTAATTGAGATGTTACTATATTCTAAACTATCTAACACTTGCAATTACTAGCAGAATTGGATGACAAAGATAAATGTTAAAAATAGAAGAAATGAAACCGGTGTAGTAGTGCACACCTTTCCCAGAACTCGGGAGGCAGAGGTAGGGAGTTCTGTGAGTTTGAGGTCAGCCTGGTCTATAAAGTAAGTTCCAAGGCAGGTTACACAGAGAAACCCTAAGGGCCAGCCTTGTTTACAGAGTTAGTTCCAGGATACAGGACAGTCAAGACTCAGAGAAACCTCGCCTGGAAAAATAAACAACAACAAACAAACGAGAGAGAGAGAGAGAGAGAGAGAGAGAGAGAGAGAGAGAGAGAGAGAGAGAGAGAGAGAGAGAGAGAAAGGGGGGGTTGGGTTATGTAAACAAAATCCTAAGCTGCACATATTACCTACACACACAGGAACATTGTAGAGGAACTTTGTTCACTACTTTGTTCATATTTTTATCAACACTTAGCTTATCATAGCATAATCATTTGTATAAGTCTTTTTCTTTGCCACAGACTAAATATAATTTCCACTATTAAAAGAAAGTAATATCCTAGAGTGGAGAAGAGGCACAGAAAAGAGCCAAAGAGAACCCAAGAAAGCCACAGGTTCAGAAGGCTGCCACAGGGGTGGGCATCTCTCTAAGATCTGAGTCCCAGCTGTAGTTCATTTCTGGGAGCTCAGCAGCCTTACAATAATAATCCACTACAACCCCACCCCAACTCCACAGCAGGCAAGCCTAAGTGGGTTTGTGTTCCCTGAGATCTAAGAGACCGATGAATACCATCTAATTGAGAAAATGAAACACGGCATAGAGCTACTTTTAAAAACCAAGGCAATACATAGTCAGCAGCCTAAATCTGTGTGCCTGACAATTAGTGCTGCAGAAGTTCCAAGATAACTGTGGGTGGTCAGAAGAAGCAGATTCAGCTAGAAGCGGTGTGGCAGGGGAAGCAGAGTAAGCAAAGCTCAAAGTCTAGGCTAAGAGGCAGCAAGGACTGGGGCCAGGAGAAGGATAGGGGTACTAGAGTGAAGAGAAAAAGGACTGATAAAAAAAATCGGTACATGTGGCCTGAAAGGTGGTTCGGGGTAAAGGTATTTGCTGCCTGATGACCTGAATTTGATCCCAGGGACTCACATGGTAGAAGAAGAAAACAGACTCCTGAAAATTAAGTCATCCTTTGACTTGCACGAGTATGCTGAGGGACACACAAACAAATATATGTTAAACCAGGCAGTGGTGGTGCACACCTTTAATCCCAGCACTCAGGAGACAGAGGCAGGCGGATCTCTGTGAGTTGAGGCCAGCCTGGACTACAAGAGCTAGTTCCAGGACTGGCTCCAAAGCAACACAGAGAAACCCTGTCTTGAACCCCCCCCCCCCAAAAAAAAAGCCAAATAAATGTTAAAAAAATTTTAAGGCCATCCAGGGCTATGTAGGGAGACACTGTTTCAAATAGGACAGAAAAGAGTTGTTGAGAGCTGGCTCAGTAGTTAAGAGTGCATACTGTTCTTGCAAGAGGACCTAAGCTCAGTTCCTAGTTTTCACGATGAGCACCCCTACTCACCTATAACTCCAACATCAAGGGATATCCTGCTGGGTGTGGTGGTCTATGTCTGTAATCCCAGCACTGGGAGGGAGGTAGAGGCAGGAAGACTTTCAGGTCATTCTTTCAACATAGTGAGTTTGAGGCCAGCCTGGGGTAAATGAGACCCTGTAGAGAAACCAGACTACCTTTACCACCTTAAGGGTAGGTCCAAATTCCTTGGTCCGGGTGTAAGAAACACTAATCATAAAAAAGAGCAGCACTTCAAGATATAGGTTAATGACAGAACCACCAAGACGGCTTAGCAGGGAAAGGGATTTGCCGTCAAGCTTGATGACCCAAGTTAAATTCCCAGGATCCACATCATGCTGGAGAGAACTGACTCTCACAGGCTGTCTATGACACATGCATCATGGCTCATGGGTGCCTATTCACACACTAAATAAATAAATGTAAAAATTCTATTTTCAAGATATGGGCTAACAATTTCGTTCTAAAAGTAATTCTAGAGTACTGTAATGCATGCACTTCCAACTATTTACCACTTTGGATTATTCAGACCTCTATTCCTTCATTACCACTAAGTATCAAAACAAACCAACAGAGGTCTGTAGAGGTGACTCAGCTGTAAAGTACACACCATGCGAGCATGAAGACCTGTGTTTGATCCCCAGCACCCATATGTAAGTCAGGTAGTGTGTATTTGGAATCTCACAGTCGGGGAAGAGAAGACAAAGATCCCTGGGGCTCAGTGGTCAACAAGTCAGCCTTACTGACTTGAGCTCAGGAAGCTCCAAGTTCAGTGAAAAACCCTACCTCAACAATAAACAAACAAACTAACAAATAAGAAATAAAAATAAGGTAGAACCTGGTACGGTTGTGCATAACCTTAATCCCAGCACTTGAGGGGCAGAAGCAAGAGGATCAATGTGACTATATATAGTAAGTTCCAAGACAGGCTGTGCTATATAGAGAGACCCTGTCCCCCCAAAAGGGGCTTCCACACAGATGCACAGTCATATATATATATACATATATATATGTATATATATACACTCCCACACCCCCACTCCCTAATGGATTCAGACAGATATAAGAATGTATACTCAGATTTAATTGTTTTTTAATAATCAGCAAACATAATTTGACCCTACAATTTTAATATCTAATAGGCTAATGGACTATCACAATTAAATAACATTTCTGCTTCCTATATTGTTTTCCTTTCAGTATGAATTTACACTTAGGATTTTAAAGGATTTGACATAAAACCATGAAGAGCAAATGTAATTCAAATGTCAACAAGGCAGGTCAATGAACAAGAGTGACACACTGCTTTAGCCACAGTTATAGCCTACACAATAATGCCCTCCTGGACTCTTTTAATCAGGAAACCCGAGCTAGGTGTGGTAGCTGACATTGGTAACTCCAGCACTAGGGAGGTTGAGTGGAGAAGGCTGCTGTGAGTGAGCAAATAACCCATGCATTGAGACCCAGGTCAGGCTGCGCTACAGAGTGAAACCCATCACAAACAAAACAAAGCATTGAGATCCAGGTCAGACTGCGCTACAGAGTGAAACCCATCACAAACAAAACAAAGCAAAATTTCCTTGGAGGTGGCACATGCTAGCACTGTGGAAGAAAGGCGGGAATTTCATGACTGCAAGCCTAAACAACAACAGCAGAGTATACACTGACACAGAACACTATTAAAACCCACTTACTCCAACGATCTCTACCTCTTTCATCTTTTCCCTCTGTCTGTTGATTTCTAACCCAGTTACACATTTATACCTGCAGACACGGCCCGGCAGACAACAGTGCTTAGATCTAGCTGATTTTCCTGTGTGCAGCTCATCTCAAGTTCCAGATAAATGGACAAGATTACATGTCCTCTACGTAGATATGCCGCATACACTCCAACATGGCAGGAAGGGACAACCTGGGAGCACAGACGACTAGCCTGTGGAAACAGACTGGCTTTATTTGTTCCCCACCCGTACAACTGGAAAATACTTGACAAACAACTACCACATGTTCTCATTCCCTACAAAAAGCACCCAAATAGGAATCATATCTTACACTCATCAGGAGCCCAAGACAGTGTCCAGGACAGAGTAAAACACATCCTTGCTGAATCAGCCAATTGCTGAAAATGTGAGTGCAAACAACTGAGGATGGGAGAAAAGAGGAAGAAAGCTAAGAGCACACAAAAAAAGGAAGGAAGAAGAAGCCAGCATGTGGCACCTACCTGTAATTCCAGCTCTCAAGATGTGGAGGCAGAAAGATCACGAGATCAAGGGGGCTGGAGAGATGGCTCAGAGGTTAAGGGCATTGTCTGCTCTTCCAAAGGTCCTGAGTTCAATTCCCAGCAACCACATGGTGGCTCACAACCATCTGTAATGAGGTCTGGTGCCCTCTTCTGGCCTGCAGACATACACACATACAGAATATTGTACACATAATAAATAAATAAAATATTTTTTAAAAAAATCACGAGATCAAGGCTAGCTTTGGCTACATTGTAAATTGGAGGCTTGCCGAGGCTGTGCAAGACTCTGTCAGAAAGAAAAATCTTTTTAATTGAAAATTAGACTCTTTCTCTCTCAATTATTAGAGATCACAATTATTAGACACTGTCTTAAAAGAATCATCAGAAGCACTTTAAAATATCTTTGGAATTATTTTACCATCTTAATTTTCAAAGTGTGATTTCTACCACTTTAAGATATGCAAATTCCAGATTTCACTTCAAATTGAACAGGTATGGCAATTTACACATGCTAAGTGTGAAGAGTACTGGCCCTAAATAATGGAGACCCTTAGGTCCTTTCTGTTGTACTGACCTGTTCTTTAAATAAGTCAGTAGATGGGAGTTGAAAATTGTCTTTTGGATTTTGTGGTGCTGGGACCAAACCTAGGTCATTACACTTGCTAGGCAAACATTCAATTACTAAGCTACATCATCAGTCTGAAAAAAACCGTGATTACACTGAACACCAAGAATTGTGATGGGATCTGACCTCTAAGTATTTAATGTCAGGCAAAATATAGCTTAATGGTCGACCACTAAGATGAAAGAAAACTCAGCTATAGAGCAGTAATAGCCTCAAGAACTCACTTTTGTTCATTCTTGTTTAGCACAGCGGTTGGAATGATATACATTTAGCCAAGGTTCCCCGGATGGATTAATTTTTTTAAATAATTATTAAAGGAGGGGTTAGAGATATGGTTCAGCAGATATGATGCAGGAAGACATGACATTAATTTCCAGGCTTCCTCTGTAGGTTCACACATGTGTGAATACAGATGAACATGCTTTGACCCAATTGCATACCACACACACACACACACATCATAGAAGGCTAGGATAATCGTGGGGTTACCTGGCCACCATCAATCTCATTCTAAAAAAAAAAAAAAAAACTGGGAATGTTGGGAGATGCAAGGCAAGGAAGTTCTAAGATCTGGAATATAATGGGATGCACACTGTGGAGTCAGAGATGGGATTCTAACTGTAACTGTGTGCTCTTTCTAAGAATTCTACTTATGTGTGCGAGCTTGTCTGTATGTGCACCATGTGTACAGTGCTTGTGGAGACCAGAAGAGGATACCAGATGTAACTGGAGTTACAGATGGCTGTAGGCTGTGATGTGGGGGTGCTGGAAACTAAACCAAGGCCTTTGGAAGATCAACATGTCTTCCTAACCTCTGAGCCGTCTCTCCAGGCCCTAACTGTGGGTTCTTAAAGACATTTAGAGTTAGCTAGACTTGATGGCCCCATCTGTAATTCCAGTACTGAGAAACTGAGACAGGAAAAGAAGGAGCTAAAGAGCAGCCTGAGCTACATAGTGAGAATGGCTCAAAATACCAAAAAGGGATGTGTATGTGTTTATATATAAGAAGTGTGACAGCTTGGGAGCATGGGGACCTTGGGAGGGGGCAGGGAGGGGGGCTGAGAAAAATGTATAGCTCAATAAATATCAATAAAAAGGAGGGGAGTGTGACAGCACTAAGAAGAGGCAACTAATAAAAAGATCTATAAAATACCAGTGGGTCGATTGATTAATCAGTTTAATCTGCCAAGAAACTATTCTGAAGGATTCTCAGAAAAAGAACGAGCTGCACAAAAAATGTCAGAAACCAAAGAAGACTGCACATTCGCTAACAGATCTCTGCAGGCTCATTTCCTGTTTAAGTATGACCTCCTGGGATAAGTTTAACTGCCGTGTTCATTACCAAATAGATGACTGTGGGTTTTAAGAGAGGCAGAGGGCGAGTTGGAAATTCGATTCTTAGCTAAACATGAATGAATACATGGGGGGAAGGGGGCTAGAAACAGAATGGGGGAGAAGGATTCGGAAAAGGGTAAAGGCGATTCTTAAATAAACACGAATGAGAAGATGAGAAAACAGAAAAGGGAGGTGAAAGAGATGAGAAGAAAAGGAAAGAAAAAACTGGGGCTGTTTCCCATTTCTGTTTGTAATCAGAATGCAGGCTTGCAGAGGAAACTCATCAACTTCTGTAAGCACAAAAATAACGACCCAGTCACGTCCTCAAAACAAACCCGCATCAGCTTCACAGCCGGTCCCAGCTGTGCCGCACAGGAGCCCGAAATTGATTCTACGGCAGAGCAGAGCTGACAGATCAAAATGGTCAATGTAAGACGGCCAGATTTCAATCACAAAAAGGGTGTGTCCCAAGTTCTGTGGGTTCCCTCTCAACCAACAGCCGGGGCAGCAAGAAGACGGCTGGGGTTGAAGGGCTGCGGGGTGAGCCACTTCCCAGACGACTTCCCCCGCCCACGCCGGGTCCAGAGCATCAATCAGCCAGTCCCAAACCTAGATGGCCAGTGCCGAATCCCAGGTAGACCATTCCGAACTCGAGGGGACAGCCCCCCAGCTCCAGCCGGCCGGTCCCGAACACTAGGTGACGGGTCCCGAACCCCAGCCGGCCGGTCCCGAACTCGAGGTGAGGAGCCCCGAACCCCAGCCGGCCGGTCCCGAACTCGAGGTGAGGAACCCCGAACCCCAGCCGGCCGGTCCCGAACTCGAAGTGACGGGCCCCGAACCCCAGCCGGCCGGTCCCGAACACTAGGTGACAGGCCCCGAACCCCAGCCGGCCAGTCCGGAACACTAGGTGACCGGCCCCGAACCCCAGCCGGTCGGTCCCGAACCCCAGCCGGTCGGTCCCGAACTCGAGGTGAGGAGCCCCGAACCCCAGCCGGCCGGCCCCGAACCCCAGCCGACCGGTCGCTGTGACTCACCGAAGCTCAGAGCCTGCGTGCCTGGCCGCGGGCGACACCCGGCACACCTTGCTGTCTCGGAACGGCCCGGCACCCACGGCTCCCTAGCGAGGCCCGCGGGGAAGGCGCCGCACCCCTGCGGCGGGAAGCACAGCCGCTCCCTCCTCGCTTCTCGCCCAGGCCGAAGCGACCCGCTGCCGCCGCCCGCCGATGGACTTCCTGGAAAGCACCGTGCTGAACTCACCTGCTGGCGTCCGGCCGCCGACTCCCGGCAGAGCCCGCAAGGTTTAAATTGCTCTTCTCTGCGGCCACGCTCCGCTGCGCCTCAGCTTCAGGGAGTTGCCGAACTCTCGCGCCGGCTGCCCCCAAAACCCGACCGCGCTGTCTGTGTTGCTGGTTTCCCCCCCCCTTCCCCGCCCATGCGCATGCGTGTTCTTGGGGACAGGCTGCATGCTGGGAGTTGTAGTTCGAGGGAGAAGGGCGCGGCTCCACATGGACCTGGCCCTTTACAATGGGAAGGGTTTTATAACAGTATATAGAAACCAGGAAGGGGCGGGGGGGGGGGGGGGGAGGAAAAAAAAAAAGAAAGAAAGAAACCAGGAGTAGGCTGAGAAAAATGTTCTCTGTTCCTGTATTCCAGAGAACTGCGACCCTCTGGAATCTAGAAAGACTATCTAGAGGCTTTTTTGGTAATAGGTTTTCTTCTTGCATGGCGGTCCTTTTATAAAAAGACATACGGAGCCAAAGCGTCTTTATACCCTTGGCTACTAATGCGAGGACATGATATCAGCTCTTTAAACTTGACAAGGAAGACAGATAAAAGCTAAGGGACTGGGGATGTAGCTCAGTTGGTAGAGTGCTTACTCAGGCACACACAAAGCCCTAGATTTGGTCCGGAGCACGCATAAGCTGGGTGTGATGGCACATGCCTGCACTTGGTGCAGAAAGAAGGGAATCAGAAGTTTAATGTAATCTTCAGCCAGCTACATACTGAGTTCAAGGCTAGTCTGGGCTACATGAGTATGTATGTATATGTATGTATGCATGTATGTATGTATGCATGCATGCATGCATGTATGTATGTATTTTTGGCCAACTCGGGGCAGAAAAGGTCATAAGGCACCCCAGTGTATGGTGCCCCTAACACAAAGAGAGGAGTAAAAATGAAAAGCAGAGCTAGATTCCATTAATGGCCACATTCAGGAAAGGAACAGATAAGCCCATATGAGCTTTAGATTTAAGCAGAGGAGGAAGTGGGGCAGGGAGCAAGAAGTATGTGTAACTGAGCAATCCTAGTCATGATGTGTCCTGGCTGGTCATTGTTTCAGTTTGGTTCTGCAAGGTGGTCCAAAGAGGGCACAATATCATTCCAGAAGATGGTCCAGGGTACAGCCTCCCTAAGGATGGGATGCCCTCATCTGGGAGCTGTTCTGACCTGGGATGCTCTGATGTTCATGGAATCCAGGTGACCTTAGGTGCCTATGGGGAGTGTTGTGGGATAATCTTTTTATACACTGTGAAGCTGTGTCTCTGCCAAGGCACCTTCTGATTGGTTTAATAAAGAGCTGAGGGGCTGGAGAGATGGTTCACTGGCTGTTCTCCCAGAGGCCCTGAGTTCAATTCCCAGCAACTACCTGGTGGTTTACAACCATCTATAATGAGAGCAGGTGCTCTCTTCTGGCATGCAGGAATACATGCAGACAGAACACTGTAGACATAGGAAATAAATCTTGAAAAAAAAAAAAGAACTGAATGGCTAATAGCTAGGCAGGAATGGATAGGCAGGACTTCTGGGCAGAGAGAGGAACTGGGGAGAAGAATCTTAGAGGTTGGGAATTTGCCAGTGAGACACAGGGTGGGAGTGGGGGTGGGGTGGGAGGGTGTCAGACATACAGTATGAGGAAGTAATGAGGCACATGACAGAACATATATTAATATAAATAGGTTAATTTAAGTTATAAGAGCAAGTTGGTAACAAGTCTAAGCTAAGGCTCAGCTTTCATGACCAATAGGAAGTCTCCCATGTTATTATTTGGGAGCTGGCTATCCAAAGAAAGACTGGCCACAAGGGAGCAATTGTAAAAGCTGACTATGCAATGTCTCATTCACTTTATTTTTTATGCCTTTATTCTTATAGGGAAATGAGATATCATAGGTTTCTGGGTAGGCATTCCTTGAATGATGAACATGCCTACACGCAGAGGTAACTAGGCAACCCCAAAACAGGAAGGCAGCCACAAAATGAAAGCAGAGATGCTAGGCTTTATCCTACGTTTAGTTACCTTATGGGCCCAAGTGAGGAGTCAGTGCTTTTAAACAAATGCTGTTTCTAACTGCCTGTTAGGTAGCAATTGCCTCATTGTCCTGGTCAATCTTTGCTCCATCTCAACTTCGTGTTCTACACCAGTCAGTGAGACTGGGCTGATGTGAGAGCAAACGACAGAAGCAGCTGGTCAAAGGAGGGAAATAAAGTAGACATTTTAGGGAGAGGAAGATGAAGAAAGTGGAAACACCTCAGAGGACTTTTCGATGTCCTGTGTAATGGCTGTCTCTTGTGCCGGGCTCTGAGGAGAAGCTCCCTAGTGAGTTTAACAGCATAGACGGGAATAATGTTCTGTCTTGATAACCCTCTGAAAATGCAGCCTGGAACCAGGCAGTGGATACTTACCTTTAATCTCAACACTTGGGAAACAGAGGCAGATGGATCTTTACAAGTTTGAGACCAGCCTGATCTACAGAGGGAGTTCCAGGATAGCTAAGGCTATAAGGAGGAACTCTGTCTCGAAAAACCACACCCCCTCCCAAAAAAAAAAAAACGCAGCCCGGAAGAGGACTGGAGTGCGTGCTTGAGGTACATTCCAACTACACCCAGAACAGGGACTCACCCAATGGTTAACCTTCTCCTGGCACCTACTTCTTCCTCTCAGGGTGGGGAGTACCCTTGGCTAAGTAAACACTCTGGAATTTTGTGCAACTGGCACCCACTGAACATCACTGATGATTTGGAAAACCTCTCTGTCTCTCCTGCCCTCCCCCCTTCTTCCCTCCCTCCCCCCTTCTTCCCTCTCTCCCTTTCTTTTTTTCCTTCGTTTGTTCATTTGAGACAAGGCATTGCTATGTAATCTGGCTGCCCTGAAACTTACTATTTGATCAGGCTGGCCTCAGACTTAAAGCAGTCTTATCTACCAGAAATACAGGCCTGCACCACCGTACCTGGCTACGGGAAATCTGTAAATTAAAATATCCGGGAGCTGGTTTCTGAAAGACATTTCCTACAGTGCTCAGGTTCAATTAATATTTATTGAATATCTAATACATAACAAGAATTGTGCCATTATTTGTAATATCTTGTTGAACTTTGAAATAACTCTACAAAGAGTTTTAAACATGAAAATAAAAATGAAGAATTCAGAAAGTTAATTTGCATAACGTCAAATGGTTTCTCTCGTCAAGACTACTTTCTTGTCAAGATGCCAGCATGCAAATAATGACATGGGAGACTTATTATGAAGTTATAAAAGTTCGGCCTAGGGGCTGGAGAGATGGCTCAGAGGTTAAGAGCAGTGCTTGCTCTTCCAGAGGTCCTGAGTTCAATTCCCAGCAAGCACATGGTGGCTCACAACCATCTGTAATGAGGTCTGGTGCCCTCTTCTGGCCAGCAGGCATACACACAGACACAACATTGTATACATAAAAAAAAAAAAAAAAAAATCGGGCCTAGCTTAGGCTTCTTCCTTGCTATGCCCAGATCCGTGAAGTCCCCCAAGAACCAACAAGGAGATCGAGTCCTGAATGTCCTGTATGTAAAAGCAAAGAACCTTTATTCTACACAAGTTTTCAAACTCTGACTCTCCCTGTGTCCAACACACTGGAATGATTGGAGAGCCCCGAGCTCAGTAAGAGTTGGGTTTTTATAGTAGTAATGGTGGGAATGAGGGATTTCTAAGGATTGGGACCCCTGATTGGCTGACATTTGTCTAGGGGTGTCCTGTGAATGTGCCCTAGCAGGTGATCCTATCTACAACAGTTGGAATGTTAGGAATTTCCTTTGGATGGTCTGTTCCTGAGTGGTGCCTGAGTAATCTCAGTTTGTGATTCTTCCCGCAACCAGGTATCGCCTCAGGGTAAACTGCTGAGACTCAGGTCTTCATTAAGTTTATCATGGCTGGGTCCTACATTCCTAACTAGTTCTTATAGCTTGAATTAGCCCATATTTTTAATCTACTTTCTTCCACAAGGTTCGTTACCTCATTCCCATACTGCCCATCCTGTGTCCTCCATGTCTGCCTGGTGACTCTGCCTTTCTTCTTCCCAGAGTTCTCTGTGTGTGTGTAAGTCCCTCCTATACTTTCCTACCTAGCTATTAGCCGGTCAGCTTCTTATTACACCAACCACAGCAATACATCTTCATACAGTGTACAAATATCCCACAACAGCAGACTGTATGTAAATCCAGAAATGAAGCATATACTCACTCAATTACTAGCCTGCTTTCTAACTGCTGATCCGACTGACACATCTCCTAGATCTCATCATGTTCTTTAAAATATGATAAACTGTGGCCTGGCTCAAAGAATATGAAGAAACTTCTCCAAGACATTCCAGAAGAGACAATATTTTGAATAAGTAAATAATTTAGATTCTTTGACAGTTTGTGTAATATTTAAAAAAAAACATAACTCCAAAACAAAACCTGATTTAATTGATGTATATGTATGTGGGCATGCATGCATTTATGTTCACCATGTGTGTACAGGTGCCTCAGTAAGGCCAGGTGAAGATGTTGGATCCCTAGAACTGGAGATACAGGCACTTGGGAGCAGCCAGATGTAGGTGCTGGGAACTGGACCCATGCTCTGCAAGAGTAATACATACTCTTAACTGTTGAAACCATCCCTCTAGCCCATTTTGAGTCTTTTTTTTTTTTTTTTGAGAGAAGGTCTCATGTAGCTCAGGCTGCCCTCAAATTCATTATGTAGCTGAGTCTGGCCTCAAACTCTTTATCCTTCTGCTTGCACTTCCCAGATCCTGGAATTACCGGCACACACCACACATCTAGCTGACTTGACAACACTTCCGTATTCTCTCCACATAAGTATCCTGGTTTATTCTGGCCTGAGAAGAGAAGCTGGCTTGCTCCTTTTGCTATTTTAGGGATTTAACTCAAGTCATTAGCTTTGGGGCTCTCTGGCCAGCTAGCCTAGCCTACTCAGTGAGCCCCAGGGCAGGCACCAATGGGGCTGGAGGGCTGGAGAAATGGTTAAGAACACTTGCTGCTCTTCCAGAGGACTCAGTACCCTCATCTGGCCTCCACAGGCACTTGTACATATGTGATGTACATTGTCCCTTGGCTTCCACATACGTGTACACACACACACACACACACACACAACACACACGAAGAAGGGCAGAGTATAGCTCTTACTGGTTTTCAGGGCTTGGTCAGAGTGAAAGTGATTGATAAGATAGCACTCCAGCGCTACTCAGTGCCTCGTGAGTCCTCACCAGTGTTATCTTTATGCCTCCAGCCAGAGCAACC